ATATATATATATATATATTAATTGATTTAGTTCGAGTTGATTCAGATTTTAAATATGTAAATTCAATACTTGAACTAATCAACATCAAGTTTAAATGATTTGATTTGGATTGGACTAAAAAGAATCTAAATCAATTTAATTGATTTGATTTAGATCGTTAAGTTTATGGGATTAATCCAATCTTATAGACATCCCCACTTTTTAATAAAGAGTGTATTAAAGGAAGAAAAAAAAAAGGTGAGAAATAATATATGGAAGATAAGGTTTGACCAAGTAAAAAAAATGTAGATAAAGTCAAAAGCTTATCCCGTAATTTGTAGATAAAATATTTTAATTTTAAAAATAGTAAATAATCTTTGCATATAAATGAATTTTCATGCTCCGAAGCTCATAAATCGAGATTCCTCAATACCATTCAAGGCTGAATATAGAGTCCACTTCTTCGAATAATTTAACTTGGCCTTCGAAAATTTTCATGTGCATAATCGTAAAAAGAACACTACTTCCTGCACGTGAACTTGATCCCTAATTTGTTGTTTGTGCAATGCAATGAATCAAATTGTTAACATAATTTTCTTTCTTTTTTCTTTTACTCGAAATGTTTTTGGATTAACATCACCCCCTTTAATCCATGTGAGTCCATTTCAAGGCACACCATAGGGGATCATTTAGCCTAACATATCCCCAAGCTCTTGTCCCTTTCTGCGTTTTGTTTACATATATAACTTCAATTGGAGGATAACCAATCCGATTGGGTTTCTCTAAGAGCAGTATTTATTCGGTGGCACGTCCCGTTAAAGATGACTTTAACTTAAAGTGTAACACTCATTAAGCACTATCTCTACGCTCAGAAATAAACAAAATCGTTGAAGGTTACCTGGTGGAGACAATATCTTATGTTTACCACAGGCATAACACACCCAAAAACAATGACCTCACATGCCACGTGCTTATTGACTTGATGCATTATTCCAAGTGCACGAATGAATTTCCCGACCAAATTACTTACCGTTGTCAAATAAACATTTGAATCCTAAATTGAATATTGTGGCCATTAGTTAAAATGTCTTTTGGCTATTTTAACTTTGTCTTTACCTTAAGGAACAGAAAACTTTTAAGGGCTCCCAGTACGCTACTGGGCCACTATCAATGAAGCAGGTCAATTTGAACATCAAATCTAGAGAATTGATGGTTTGATATACTATATAAATGAGCTCCTATATGAAAAATTGATGAATACTAATAAAATTCCACCATGGGTGTGTTCTACCATGAAGAGCCACCAAACCAGTCCAAGAGATCATGCAAAAACCTTGTGGCAACTCTAAAGGAAGTATTTTTCCGTTGCCACACTTTTGCAGCACGGCTTTCAACTTCAAGTCTCGAGGATGAGTACCCAGTGAGCGATTTTGACGAGGAGCAAGAAGTAAGTGTGTGTTTGAGTAAACATTAGTTAAATTAGTCTCCAATGAAATTATTGATTTTGTAATATTGGTCGCTGATTAAAATTGTTTTTGAAATGAAGTGATTCATGTATATTTAATATTAAAAATTAATATAAAAAATTCATCCAAGGAAAAAGCTATATAAGGTTGTATTAAACATTGTTCTAGACTCTAATTAATTTCCTCTGGTGGTTTCTCAGGTGTTTATCTCAGCAGTGATAAGCAGAACCATGGAGAAACAGAAGCACAAGGGAAGCGTGTTGAGACATAGCTTTTCGTGGGTGTACTCTCCTGCAACGAAAGAAGTAGTTTACGTGACAGAGGCAATGGCAGCACAAGAAAAGGTGGTAGGTGGTGATGAAGAAGAAGAAGAGTTTTTGTCTGTTAAAAGCTGTTTCACACGGTGTTCGAGTTCTCCCAGTGGAGAAGCATTTTATTCTGTGAAGACAAACCTTTCACGATGTTCAAGCTTGAGCGACCTTGACTTGTCCAAATATTGGAAGCGGTCGGTGATTGAGGAGTTTTGTCACTGCGAGGGATGGCCTTTTGGCCTGTGTCGCAGAGCTGTGTTGCTTCCACCACTTCCCAAGTCACCTTCCGAGTCTTGGTTGTCGCGTAAAATACAACCAACCACTAAGAAGTAACAAACCATGAATTTCTTCACCTGTTAATGTTATGTTACTTTCTTTTTTCTTCCTTTTCAGGAACTGTAACACTCTCAAAGACCATTGTATATCGGAATGCGGAAGCATAAGCTTCTTATTTCGTTTTTATTTTTATACTTACGACCATTTTAAATAAAGAACGCTTATATTTGTTCCATATATGTATATTATTTCAAAAGAATAAATTCTATGTTATTTGTGTTAGAACTTTTATATATTATATAAAAATTTAAAATATTAAAATTTGAATTTGAAGTTTAGTCTAACTTTAAAACTAGTTCTTATTATGAAAGTTTCTTTTTATGTATATACATTACTATTATTTTAGTAATATCACTGATTAATATGTGATATTATCCGGAACGATAAGAGGGATCAATCAAGTATCAACTGAATGACGCAAATAGTTTGCTCAATTAATTTCTTGGTATGTAAATAGACGACAGGATTCTGTACCATCATTTATATCGGAACTGTCAAGGGGAAGGGGAAGTTGGTTTCATAATGATGCCGATAAACTAGCATCGTCTATACTTTAGTCAACAGCTAGCTGTTAACATTGGATTTGGATACACTTTCTCCTGTTAATAAACACGCCTATTATGTTATATCAATTATTAATAATATAACTCATGCTTGACAAAAAATTACTCAAGATTGAAAAAATTAGCATGTACAAGGGTTAGTTGAATTCAGAGCCGATAAGGAATGATAAATATTCATGGACACTCTCATATTCATATGCTATTAGACAAGAGAGCGAAAGAGAGAAATATAGATATCATAGTATGTATAATCAATTATTTTGTTTCGTAGCACGCTCAGTTTTAAAATCAAATGACTTTGTTTTGTGTTGTCTTTTATATTTTAGCAAATCAAACATATCTGAGTGTTGATTCGGAGAATTGGCAAGAACAATATTTTGTTTGAATCGGCTCTTAAATATGATGTCGTTGTTAGGTGAGCGCAGGAAATTAGGAATTGGTAATAGTATAGAGATTCATGAATCACGAGGCTAGAAAATGCATCAAATATCTTTGTCCCTTATTTCGTAACGCACAAACAGCACGAAAGCCAGAAAGTAAAAGGTTCACTTTTATTATGGGCCCATGGATCCAGGATGGGCCTACCTTCTGGCGAATAAGAGGGGGATACTTAAACAAATCAAGCATGCCTCATCAATCATTCTTGTTACCTGAAGCAGTGAAGCTTAATAAATTTATTTGATATTTTTCTCACTTATTTTTGTTTTCTGAGATTAATTTATTTGATTTTTTTTATCAAATACAAATTTATTTGATATTGTATATTCATCTCATTGATTTGAATTTCTCCTAATTTATTTTGTAGTTATTTATATTTAAAAAGGTTTAAGTAATTGTAAATAAGATAAAGAGATATCAAACGAAATTTTTATTGAACTGCAATAGGTGTGTTCCAACTTTTATAGCTTCAAGTGTCAAGAAAAGAAATAAAAAACTTCTATAGCTTCAATAATGCCTATGCATAATCAATCATTCAAGACAATCTGTTCTTTGTTTCATTAATTATTAAATGATTTGAGTAAAATTATTTAAATTGATAATAATTAGGGTTGATAATCACATCCTATTTTTTTTTCTCTTATTAATTAGAATCCGAAATCGAATCCGACTTTTTTTTTTATTTTTTATATCTTTCAAATTAAATTTGAGTAAAAAATAGGATAAATGCATATGTAATTTCAATAAAAAAAATTTAAAAAAAACATTAATGATTGACTTTGACTTTTTATGAAATTGTATCTTATCCTAATCTATTTTCTTTTTATAAAAAATCTCATCCTAATCTGCAAATACCCACTTTAATTCTACTTCACTCAAGAAAAGTTGGATTTTTGGTAACTTTAAATTAAAAAAATTAAAATGATAAAAATAAATTATTTAAAAAATAATTTATCACATTAAACAATTTTTGCCACGTTGACAACTATACAAACAAAACATCACTATCTCCAAACGTTTTTGTTGCAACTGAAAAAATCAAAGGAAATGTTTGGAACCCTAAATATTTGGTGCCAATTACAGGTGTGTAAAAAATTAAAATTGATCCAAACTGATCCATAACCGATTCAATCTATTTTGAAAAAAAAATCGAACCGACCCACTTTATAAAATTGATTAAGTTATCCAATTCATTTTTACAAAATGGATCGATTCGATTCGGTTTGGTTCTTTAAAAAAATCGATACATATATGAATAAAAAATAGATAATTGCACCGCACCACATAGAATCGATCCAATTTAAAAAAAATGATCCATATTTTAAAAAAATCAAACCGATCTACTTTATAAAAAAATGGATCAGTTAACCGATTCACTTTTATAAAATGATTTGGTTCCGTTTGAATTTTTCAAAAAATCGATCCATGAACACCCTTAGCGCCAATGAATTTTTTTTTTTTATAGTTGAATAAAAACAATCATTTTAAATAATCTCTTACATTACACGAGTCAACTAACTAGTTGAATAAAAGCAAAAATAAATCTAACCCAACTCTTGTTCACCTCAACTCACCGAATATTTATAGAATATATATTCTATACTTGTTACATGAATTTTACTTGAGTACAAAATTAATAAACCAATAAAATATTAATTAATAATTACTATAACACTAAGTTTTTAATTATTGTCTTTTAGCAATAATTATTTATCTATATGGTATGAGATATGTTATGGGACTTTGAGAGTTGAGGGACTCTTAAAAGTCTAGTTAATTTTGAGGGTCCCTAGCTAGAGATCTAGTTGACCCTTAGGATAAGAAGTATATAAGAATTCTATTAAAAATTGAGCCTTATAAACTCGTGTTCTTTAGAACCTAGAGAGAGAAATCTAGTGAGATAGGCTCTGATTCTTGATTTCTTTCTTTTCTCTTCCTCCTCCAAGATTCCTTTGGTGTGTGAGGATATACTGTGGGATGATGGATTCAAAGCATTTAGAGGATGAGAATTAGTGTGGTGTGTGGAGTTGAGTGCGAAGCTTAAAGACATTCCTTCTTCTTTTCTCCTTTCTCGATTTAGCTCGGAATCAAGGTAAGGAAAGCTAAAACTTGATTGCTAGTAGAATTTGGTGTTGCGTGTAACATCCTAAAATTTTATTTTTATGTATTGGGATTGTTAAAAGGATTATAATATTTTTTTATATGTATTTTAATATTTATGTATAAGTATTTTAATATTAAAGTATAAGTATTTTTGAATAGTAATATATGTATTTTTGAAAAGTAAATAAGTGGAAGAAAAGTAATATAGTGAATGAAAAGTATTTTAATATTAATATTATTTTAATGAATAGTGAATAGTAAATATAATATTATTTTAATCTGCATAGTAATTCCAGAATTTCTATAAATAGAGGCTAGGGGTTGAAGGAAATTCATAACTTGAGATAAGGAAATTCTGGAGGAAGAAAGAGAGAGAGAGAGAAGAATCTAGAAAGAGAGGAGGTTCTACTCTAGTTCCGGTCCTAGTTAATAAAAAAGAAGAGGAAGTTCTACTCAAATTTCTATTTAATCAGGTACGGGGGAAAAGAGGGTTATTTATATGTAAAATACATGAGGGTATTGGGTAGAATTTCTTAGAATAACGTTTGATTTATGTGAATGGACGGCCAAGCCTCCTATTGATTTAAAATTTGGAATTTATGTGAATGGACGGCCAAGCCTCCTATTAATTTCTAATTTGGAATAATTAGGAATTTTACTGTTATTCTATTAACTTTTATGTTAAGGAAAGTTAATTGCTATATTACTTGTAAGAATGAAGAATATTGATATAATATGCTTGAGGGGTATGTAGATCTTACTTTGTTAAGTTTATTTGTTATATGGAATTATACATGTGTTATAAATTTGATGAGATGTTGTATGGTTGTGATATGATTGTGATTGTGATGTCTCACATCGATGGCTAGTATGGCACGGCTCTGTATAAGTGGTGTTACAGGGAAGGCGTGACCCTAGCATGGTGTGAGATGAGAAAAACAGTTAACACCACCACTTATGTCAGTTATGGCAGCCCTGACATAGGGTTAATTGCAAGAGATTGTATTGATTGTAATGTGATTGTTGTTACTCACACTAAAGGATTAAGGATGATACGAACCCTGTGTGGTGGATACTTCAGGGACGAGCGTACTCCTCGTAAATCAGGGATGATACGAACCTTGGGTAGGTGATGCTTCAGGGACGAGCGTACCCCTGGTATGGTGTGAGTAAGGGAGGCAATTAACCTGTATCACTTGTGTCAGATGTGGCGAGGTCTTGGCATAGTGTTAATTGTGATATTGATGGACATGAAAATGATTTTATGATTGTGAAAGTGACATGTATAATGGTTTGTGAAATGGTTGAATATTTGATAATTAAATCTATATACGTTTATATGAAATAAACAAGTTGTTATAATAAATTATACTGTGATGTGTTTGTATGTGTTTTGCATATAGATAATTTTTCTTTTCTCACCGTATAAATTGTGGATATTTTTAGGTGGAGAGGATCCAGCTGCAATTGGTATATAGTATGTCAGCAGTTTTATTTGGGAAAATGCTCTGATAGTGTGACATCGGGGCAGAGGATTTCTAGTTTAAGATATTTATGAAAATTCTGTAATATTATTTTGAAAACAATTTTAGAAACTCTTGTATTTTAGGTTTGATATTTCTATTAATGTGGTGTATTGAATTTTTGTTATGTGAACCCTTTTACCAATTTCAAAAGTTTATTTTCTTTAATTTTGTTACATTATTTCGATATATGTTTTGGGGTAGTAAGGGTGTCACATTGCGTGTACCTTGTTTCTAGTTGAATGCTTGCTGATATGTTTAATTTGGAGTGGATGTTGGATTTTGAAGAACTTGGTGTTCTTTGCGTTCTTGGTGAAAAAGGAAAGATTTGACGATCTAATTAGTGTGTTGTTGTTACATGTTTGATTTTCTTCAAAATTAAAATTATATGTTGCTAATAGGGGATAAATTTTGAATTGCATGTATGAACTACTGGTTAGATTCGAGGATTTTGGAGATTTGATGGTGTTCATCATTGTTGGGTTTGTTCTTCATGTATGTAGAACTTTATGGGTTTGTAATGCTAAGCATGAGCCTCATACTTAGCATGGAGAGTGGAGGATGCCTCTAAAGGTAGGCGCCCAACGTGAATTTCCATGCTCAACATGAAAACTTATATTTGTTTTTATGAGTCTCTAGGAGGCTAGTGCTCAACATGAGTTTCCATGATCGGTGTGAAAACTTATATTTGTTTTTATGACTCTTTGGGAATTTGGCGCTTAGCGTGAGTTTCCACGCTTAGTGTGAAAACTTAACTAGATATTTTCTTCTTTGTTTAAGTTGGTTGCTCACATGATGTATGATGAAGGTAGTTCATATGTTATTTGTTCTTGATACATTGATCTAGGATAATGTGTATTGATGACTAATTGTTGATTAGTGAGTTGAATGGTGAATATGAGTAATATTTTTTAATATATTGCATGTTGTATATATGATGATGATAATAAGCATTGACATGCTATAGTTGTATAGTTGAAATGATGATGAACATTGATTTGCTATGTATGATTGATGTGCTATGAATTACATGGTTAGAATGCTGAATAGACATTGGTATGATAAATCTCGAAATAATTGTTGAGCATTAATATGCTAATTATGATCGGTGTGATTTGATCTTTATATGCATTGACCTAAGCCATATATATAGATGATGTATGTTGAGGTGTTGATGTTGAGAATGTTGTAGGCATCAAAATATGTTGATTGACTTAGGACTAGAGGAGAGAATGTTGTTTGAAAGTTGAAGGTCCTTTGTAAGGAATCTTGTTTTGGCGCTTTGGCAGGCCAATTGCTAAAAATCCTCATTGAATAAGTATGAAACTCTTGGAGTGGATTTTGTTAAGTCTCCTCTAGACCTTTAGTCAATGTGAAGTAAAGTACAAAGTTGAGGACTACCACCTTTAATTGATTATTGGAAAGGTTGTATGGTTCCTTACAGATAGTTAGTGAGCTTATTCCACATGTGACTTGGTGATGCATGTCAAGGTCATAGTACACCTATATCTATCTACATTAGTCTTGTTGGTAGAATTAGACTTTCTTAATGTAAGTGATGACACTCGAAAAAATAGAGAAAGGATTGGTATCCTATTTTATTTGTCAATCTAGTAGGCACGTATGACATGAAAGCAATCAAGTTGGTTTGGTAGGGTCATGCCACTTAGATTGCTCATGTGTATTAGGAAATCTTCGTAAGTAGATACGTGACGACGTATTAATTATAGTGTGAGTTGATTGTTGTTCATATGCACTAGATACATATCTTGTGGTATGATATGATGGTGGTGAATATTACCTATGTGTTTAGCTTTCAAACATGTTGATTATTGTATGTTGTAAAACCATGTGTGTGTTTTAGTTGGTTTACATGTTGGAGAGTAGTATAGATGTTCTTTTCTACACTTGCATGTTTTTGAAATCCAACTTGCCCTTTCTTGTTTACATGTGATGATCATACTTGGTATGAGAGTAAAAATAAGGATAGGTTGTAGAGGACTCCAATGAAGACCATCGCGTGGATGGTGGAGCTTTTGAATGTTTTATGCTACCCTCTTGTAATAATTGTATAATTTATACTTGACCGACACTTAGGTCATACATTTGACTCTTACTAAATGACTATACTTATAATGTTTATATTTCTATAATTACTTTTACACATATATGCATGTTATATTATACATATTCAAATATTTATAAATATATAAATTTATAAGAAGTAATGACTCCAATGCTAATTGATGATCCCACAAAATATAATAGTTATAATAATTCATTACAATTACTAATACTAAATTGAAAAACTACCGGTTAAGGTTCATAATATAATCTAGCATACATTATTAATGATATAACGCAAAAATTTTGATTGGTTAATAGCTTAATTTCATATTGTATATAAGTTATTAATGATATAGTGAAAATGTTAACTAATATATATGAATCTGTTTATTTATTAAAAAATGTATTTAGAAACTTTTTTCTAACACCATTTAGAAACTCATTTCAATAATGTGGATCAGAAGTTTTTCATTTTTCAAAACAAAAACATTAAAAGGAAATGTTGAGCCGACGTCCCATTAGCTCAAACTGAAAAACAAATACACATTTAATATATGAGGATCCATCCATAAACCGTGACCAGAACTTTATAATAAATAAAGCAGCTTTATATACTATATGGTTTTACGATTTCAACTCTGGACTTGGTCTTTTTGTCATCAAATTTGAAATTGTGGGCTGAGGTATGACTTTTGAGGCTGAGGTATGACTTTCGCCATCAGTTTTATATACTATATATATGTTTTCAGTGCACACAATAACACTTGTATTTGTATGAGTAATTAACCTTATATCATCATTTAATATTTTATTTATGTTGATGCACAAATGAAGTAACTTAAAATTAATAATAAAATATTAATTTATGTTTTATGAGATATAATTTTTATCGACTAAAATATTATTTCAACAGTCATAAGAATCAATCAAGAAGTTTCAAGTCAATCTCTATGATTTAAGGGAGACTTTACAATCACTAAGACAAAGAATTTAGTTATTTATCTTTAAATACTTCATAAAACACAAAATAAAAATATACATATAATATTATATATGAATTATTACATTTATAATTCATAATGATTTTTAGTTAAAATATATTTTTAATCTCTATAATTTCACTTACATTTTCTTTTATTTTTTATAGTTTAAAATAGATATATTTTCTTTGCCTATATACTTATCCTTTTCAATTCTTTTTAGTTTTTATAGTTTAACATATATATTTTTAGTTCTTATACTTGCATTTTTTAAATTCTTTTGGTTCCTTTCATTAATGTTTTTTTTGTGACGTTATCTCTTATGTGATAAAACTATTAATTCAACTTTGTATGTTTAATGTCAAATTTATTTTATTGAATTAGGTCTTTAAATATTTCGTGTTTCTTTTATATCTTCACTTGCAACACTCATTGTTGAGACTTTTTTTACCCTCATAAAATTGAATTACGTTAATACAAAATGAGCAACGTCACAAAAAATTAACAATAAGAACTAAAAAAATTACAAAATATTGCATTATAGATACTAAAAAATCTATTTTAAATTATAGAGACTAAAAAAAATTGAAAAAAATAAATATAAAGACTAAAATAATTTATTTTAAATTAAAAAATTAAAAAATAAAGTAAGTGAAATTATATGAACTAAATTAAACTATATGGACAAAAATATTTAACTATAATTTTTTATAATCTTTTTTCACAATTAAATGTATCACAAGGTTTGTATAAATTTATACACGACTTTTATATTTTAAGTTAAATATCTATTTTATATAT